TATATTTGGCTTTTATAATTAGACGCATGCAGGTTGTGAATCAAGTTGTAGTTTGACAAGTTGTAGTTTGATTGGTATAGGTTGTGAATCAACAAATCTAGTTTTAGCTTACTCAGAAGGCTATCTCTAATGGGTCAGTCAGCCCATCAATATAGCATTCATTACATACGATGAAGCATTTTGTTTATTAACTATTTATATATTATATATATATGATTTGATAACACTCAAAATTGAAATTTTTTGCCCAGAGCATAAAATGGGAGTAAATGTACAGTACTACCAAATAAAATTCGCAGCCACATTTCCCCACAAGCAAAATCTCAAATGTCAACAAAAAATAAAATCTTCAAGCATAACCAGGCTAAGCTTACAGGAGCTTCCTATTATGGTATAACAATTTAATCGCTTTCACAACCAACTTTAGAACCTCCCCACCGAGCAAACACAAAAAAAAAAAAAAAGAATCCTGTGTACACAAGAAAAGAGGTAAAAAGGTCGAAAGAATCAAAATTAATATTGAGCACCAATCTTTCCCACATCCAGTGGTTATTATTATTTGCTGTCTGTAAAGTCTGCATCAATGACATCGCCATCGGGTCCCTTTTCAGACGAGCCCTCCGGAGTAGGTGATGGGCCAGCACCAGGTTGGTTGTAGAGTGACTGCCCGAGCTGCATTACTTCTTGGTTAAGAGCGGTCATGGCATCTTTCATTGCTTGAGTTGAGCCACCAGAGATGGCTTCCTTGAGTTCTCCCAATTTGGCCTCGACTTTTTCTTTGACGGGGGCAGGGACTTTGTCACCGAGCTCCTTCAACTGCTTTTCTGTCTGATAAACTACCGAGTCGGCCTGGTTTTTAGTGTCGATGGCATCCCTCTTCTCTTTGTCTTCCTTTGAGAATCTTTCAGCTTCACTGACCATTCTTTCAACCTGTTGTCCCAAAAAAAAAAAAAACAAATATAAGAAATTGCGAAAGTGTTACAGCACCGGACAGGTACGAGATGTTTTTAGTTTAGTTTTAAGCAACAACTCGATTTATTTTTTAAGCAGAAGTTACAAAAATCACTCGTGACGCTTGTCGGCGGTCGTAATAAGATCAGAAGGAATTACAAGTTCAAAAAGAAAGAAAGAAAGAAAGAAAGAAAGAAAGAAAGAACCCTTCAGTTTTGGTTCAATGTTATATTTTCCTCATCCATAACGAGAGAACAATTTCCAAACCTCTTACATTCATGAAACTATCCAAATACCTTGTCAAATTCAAGGCACAATCAGAACTAATAAGCTTTTATGTAGTACTAAAACTTCTATGGACTTTCCATAAACACACATAACCTTGTTGGTAATTTCATAGCTAAGCTTTATTCTAAATCACTTCCTTCCACTATTGCAAAGAATACCTAAGGTCTGCATTAAATAATCCGAACACTGGTACAGTTTGCTGATATAGTTAGACACCAGATAAGATGAAAGAGAGTTTTTGTAGTAAGTTTCATAATGTAACCAAGACATCCCTGACAGTGAAAAGGCATCTAATTAACCAAAAACTACTGAATGGCATTCATTGAAAGTGGATGCTCAAAAAGTTTAGAAACTCTAAAGGTTTTAGCACGAGGCAATGTGAAAGTGTATCAAGATATCAGCAAACCACTAACCTCATCACTTGGCAATGTGCTGGCACCAGTGATGGTGATATCTTGCTTCTTCCCAGTTCCCTTATCGATGGCGGCTACAGATAGGATTCCGTTGGCGTCAATGTCGAATTTGACCTCAATCTGAGGAACCCCTCTGGGAGCTGGCGGGATCCCATCAAGACGGAAGCTACCTAGAGATTTGTTATCCCTAACAAACTCTCTCTCGCCTTGAAGTACATTAATCTCGACACTGGTCTGGCCATCAGCAGCTGTTGAGAACACTTCCGATTTTGAAGTTGGCAGTGTGGTGTTTCTTGGAATAATCTTCGTCATAACCCCACCAAGAGTTTCCAAACCCAATGATAGTGGTGTCACGTCAAGAAGAACAATGTCACTAACATCCCCAGCCAACACACCAGCCTGAGATAAACAACATACATGGTTAGAAAAAATTAAAATAACGCATAAGAAGAAGACATGTAGTTGAGGAACAGGGATCACCTGCACTGCAGCTCCAAGGGCAACAACTTCATCGGGGTTCACGGTAACGTTTGGGTCCTTTCCAGTCAATTTCTTAACAAGTTCCTGAACTGCTGGAATACGTGTGGAACCACCAACAAGGATTACCTCATCTATATCACTGAAGGAGAGCTTTGCATCCCTCAGCGAATTTTGAACAGGGGTTTTGAGCCTGTAAATGATAATGATATCTCTCACTCATAATGTGGCAGGATATAGAACATGAGATATTTCAAGAACACAAGATGCGGTCACCTGTCAAGCAAATCTGAGGACAACTCTTCAAACTTAGCCCTTGTAAGGGTGGTTTCAATATGTTTGGGACCATCTGCAGTGGCAGTGATGAAAGGCAAACTGAAAAAGGGACAAAAAGTTAAGAGGTAAGTTGAGTGCATGAGGAAGGTTCCCAAAAGACATAAAAGGTTCAAAACATGCCTAATATTAGCTTGTGTCAACGATGATAGTTCCATTTTAGCTTTCTCAGCGGTCTCAGTCAGACGCTGAAGAGCTTGTTTATCCTTCAAAAGATCTATCCCCTCGTCTTTCTTGAAATTTGAAGCAAGCCAGTCCACAATTCTCTGTATGAATTCCAACAATTTGATGAGCCGATATATCTATCAACTGCTTTGGAAAATCCAAGAGAAATGCATATTTCAATGAGTGGGCAAGATTGGAGCACAAACCTTATCAAAGTCATCACCGCCAAGGTGTGTATCTCCAGAAGTAGACAGCACCTCAAACACACCATCACCAACCTCAAGAACTAAAAGAAAGAAAAATAAATGAATAACAATAAGAAATCTCAAAGAGGTGCAATTGTTTAAGATTTTGAAGTATAAACGAATTTGAAATATTTATTGATCTACAGATGATAGTGTTAACATCATTTCACAACAGGAACGCCTCTTCAGTCCTATCAATACATGACAAACTGTTTCGCATAGGTAAAGCCTACGGAATCTGCAAAGAATCAAAATCATTGTGCAGGTGTATGTTTAAATTTGTGCATCAAACTCCAGAGTAGGAGTTAAAGGAAAGCCATACCAATAATCGGAAAGTAAATATAATCCGTAAAGCAAAGCCAAACAAGATATACTACTGAGCAGAAACGAATTTGGCAAAGTGAATGACATTTTGTACCTGACACATCAAAAGTACCACCTCCAAGGTCAAAAACCAATATAGTTTCGTTGCTTTTCTTTTCGAAACCATAGGCAAGTGAAGCAGCTGTTGGTTCGTTTATAATGCGGAGAACCTCCAAGCCAGCAATACGACCAGCATCCTTTGTAGCAGTCCTCTGAGAATCATTGAAGTATGCTGGAACAGTGACCACTGCCTTAGTTACCTTGTCGTTCAAAAACTTTGATGCATCATCAACAAGCTTCCTCAGAACCTAAAACATGAAGAGGTTAAAAATCATCAGATCCTAATTGGGTACTTGAGTGAAATCAACCTAACAATATCATTTCCTGATACCCAAATAAAGGCAAAAGCTTAATAAACTAGTTAAAAGGTAAAGACACAAGTTTTTCATGTCTCAACAGGTGTGCTGCAGGTGCAGGTGCAGATGCGGGTGATTACAAGAAAACTATCCTTACCATATCATGCTGACATAAATTATGGGGTTGTTCAAAAAAACATTCCTCAAGTATAACAAATGTGAAATCTCTTATTCTATAGTTAGAGTAAGAGAATATGACAGGCAACGTTCTTCTCCAAATGACATTCAAATGCTAATAAGAACCAGCCAATTCAAACTCTCACCGTAAAAAAGTATTCAGCAACATCCACTTTATGTATGTGTGAGTAGGTGGCTCAATGAACATTGTACAATATTCGTGATAGTACTAAGTATTGGTAAAAAGAATCACAGTTCGAGTCTAGACAAAGAAAGGACAATATTCAAACAGATAAAATTTCTACCTGAGCTGAAATTTCTTCAGCTGCAAACTGCTTCCCGATGGCAGGACACTCCAGCTTCACATTTCCATTGTCATCTCTGACAACATGATATGAGACCTGCTTCGACTCCTCGTCAACTTCAGACATCTTCCTCCCAATGAACCTCTTCACGGAGAAGAACGTGTTCTCAGGATTCACCACCGCCTGCCGCTTGGCAATCTGCCCCACCAGCCTGTCCCCGTTCTTCGTATAGGCAACTACTGAAGGTGTTGTCCGCTGGCCCTCGGCGTTAGTAACAATGGTGGGCTTCCCGCCCTCCATCGCCGCCACTGCGGAGTTCGTTGTCCCAAGGTCAATTCCCACGACTTTCTCAGCCACCACACGGAGTGGCGTGCCGCGACGGGAAACGCTTCTGGCTTTGCATTTCAGATTCAGCTTCATCAGGTCATTGTTGTTCAGCTTCGACCCGAAGAACACTGATTTAGTGGCGCTATTTTTGGCAGGATTCCCGGATGCGACGAAAGCCGAAGCGCCGAGAGCGTGTATCTGAGCTGCTGAAGCCGCCATTTCCGGACCTTCACGGAGGATGTACTGCGGGACTGTACGCGTTGAAGGCAAGAAATGGGGCGGGAGCTCGAGGTCAAAACCCTAAGAATTGGGGAATTTGGGGGAGTAGTGTTTGAGTAGTGATGGAAGAGAAGATAAGGGGTTTTAATGGGAAATGTGAGAGGGAAGGGGTGACCGGGTGAGGGTTAGGTGAGAACGTGGAGTCTCGTTCTAGAAACATCTATTTGTACTATATACCTTCAAATGTTTATTAGGTCTGCCCGGTGAAAATTGAGGGGTGAACAAAGTCGAGTCAAAATCAAAAAATAAACTAAATCGACTTATTCGGTGCGGTTTTTGAAGAGTTTGATTAACAGTGCGATTTGGTTTTTAAAACCGCAAAAATTTCGGTGCGGTTTAATTTTCTGTTTGAATGGTGTTGTTTTAACAGAATGATGTTGTTTTAACAGAACCGCACCGAATATCATAAAGTGTCACTTTTTAGTTTTAAAGTTTTACCTACATATAGCTGCAAGCATTGTGACTTTTGTGAGTCTATCAAACACGTCTTTTTTTTTTTAACACAACATCATTTACATTTGTATAGTTTGAACATTAATTTGTAGTTATCCGTTTTTAGTTTTGGTGTGGTTTTTCCTTTAATTGTGGTGCGATGCGGTACAGTTCGCTGAAGAAATCCGGTGAAGAAATCCCAAGTTTTCAGTCACCCAAACCTGAAAACCATACAACCAAACCGGACAGACCGGCTGATCGAGCTAAGGCTGTCAGTTGATCGGTGTGTGGCGTCAGGTCGATGGGGACGGAAGAGTATATCAAGGTACTCGACACAAGTAGCATCCCCAGAGTAGGGTCCTGGCATTGCCCGGTCACAGAATACATCATCACAAAAAGGGCGATCATCTGAGGGCTTCTTTCCTGCCTCCACCTATGGCCAATATAGTGACTCTTGTCAACTACAATGCCCAGTGTTGTGTATACATTATATTCTATATATTTCAAACTTAGGCTGATATATTTCTCCTTTGGTGCATAAATTACAGTGCCCTACCCACAGAACCAAGAAATTCATTGAAAAGATTTTCTTCTTCATAAACTTGAGCTTACATTTGGTTTTATCAGGAACTAGTAAGCTTTAGAGCAATAATAAGAAACTAAACCACAAAAGTTTCAAAATTCTCCATTGCTCATCTCCAATAAGAGCAAACCACGGAAGACAAACTCAACATTCACAATGAATCACAAATTCAGAAAGACGACCAATCCTATCACAATGTATAAAAAAAACGTATTATGAACAATCATTGCTTCTTCGGCCAGAGGAAATTATCGATAGACTCCGGGCTTGCAAGAAGGCCAAGAGGTTTGCTAAGACTGTCCTTTAAAATGGTTATTTGGCCTTCTTTTAGTAGTATCTCTTCATCAAGGGCCTCTATTTTCTTTCTCAACACAGTCATCTCAGAATTCAACAACATGTTCTTCTCCGAATATTGCTTAACTTCCTCCCACATCATATCTCTTTCTTCAGATACCTTTGGCAATATTCCCCTCACTATAGCCAATTCTTTCTTGCATTCTTGCAAATCACCTGTTAGTTGATTAACCGTCTCGTCCTTTTTAATCGTCTGTCATACAAATAAAACAAGGGTGAACGTCTACAGAGCTGAGCGAGTAGAAAACATTTGCTAAAAATGTTACACTATAATCGTAATACAGTCACAAATACACACACATGCTTTAGATCCAAACACCAATTACACTAAGGAAACATATGATACTCCTTATGCACCAAATTTAGTTCAGACTTTACCTGAAGTTCAAATTCTTTCATCTTATGGTTTAAGCAAGAAAAATTATCGACTGCATTTTGCAATTCACATTTGAGGATGTCATTTCCTCTGACAGCAGCAGCAAGCTCTGCTTGCAGTTGCTCCAACTCGAGCTCCTTGGAATAAAGCTTCTCTCGCAACAAACTTGTCAATAACGTCTCTGCTTTCAGGGCTGATCTGGCAATGTCCTGGTAAGTAAACCAAAATGACATTAGATACAGCATATTGGAAAAGTGCAGAGAGTAAAATCTCATAAGGAACTTAATCAAGAAAATAAATAAACAACCTCTGTTTTGTGTTCATTCCATTTGTACGAATCATCACCCGCGCTAGCTGATTGGGTGTCCACACAAACTGGGCAAAGCTTCTCATTAGGCACGGTTGGTTTCTCTTGCAAAACATTAGACACAGTCCGAAGAGTGCTTGCTACATTTTCAGCTGTCCTCTCTAGACCCTGTAGCTTCACTTCACATTCAACAAGAGCTTGACCATCCAAACACGTGGCAGAAGCTTGCCCATTAGTTTTGACAAATTCAATCAATTTTCTGCCAAGTTGGCTGCTCTCCATTAGCAATGGAACAATTTGATTTTCTAAGCAGCTAACGCGGCTCTCTAATTCGCGGTCCAACTTAAAAGTCAAGAATGCCCCATCTTTTTTCAGACGATTGAGCAGATCAATGTTTTCACGCCGAAGCGAATCAACCTCAGCTCTGTACGATTCAACTTCCTTCCTCAATGAATGCTCCACTCCAGTCAGCCTCATATGCTCAACCTGCATCTTAGCAGATCCAACATCAAGACTTTCCTGAGAGATTTTCTTTCCAAGTGCCTCCTCACAAAGCCCACGTAGCCCACCAATTGTCTTTTCTTGTTCATTACAGGTTCTTTGGAGTCTACTGATAGATTGATGCAAGTCTTTGCACTCTGCAACCTTACCCTCATAGTTCCTTCGGGTGCAATCACGCTCCTCTTCAGCTGCTCTGGCTCTCTCTTGCATTTCGGACAGACTTCTCTGCAAATAATTATTTTCATCTACAGCTTCTTTAAACCGAACAGATAGATCCCCAAGTTGTTTCTCAGAGAATGTAACTCTGTTCCTAGAATCCATTTCCCTTTCGCTACACGACGAGACTTCCCTTTGGAGTCCAACATTCTGCTCAGCTAGCTCCCGTAACCTCTCCCGAAGCCTATGTTCTTCCGCCTGTAATTTCTCAAGCTTCATGGACCATTCATTCGATCTCCTATCCAATTCCTTCTCAAGAGTCAACTGCAACTCCTTTTTTTCCTTTGCCAATCTCCGGGCCTGCGCATCCAGCTCTACCCTTGCTAGTTTAAGTTTTTCCTTGAGATGGGCCCTTTCGGCAATCCTATCATCAAGGCCAGTTGAAACTTCCTGGGCAATATTTATCTTTTCCTCTGTTAAGCATCTAATCGTCTGAATCAGTGCCGGCACACTATATCCTCCACATTCAAGATAGTTTCCCATCTGAAACTCTTGTGAGAGAATCGCTGCACGGTCCTCAGCTTCCTTGAATTTTTTAAACAACTGCACATCAGTGTCATGGACATCATCTTTTTTCAAGAATGCCAGAGTATTGTCATGGAGAGGAGACCCATCAATGGAATCAGCAGGCCAATTCTTCGGAGACGCTTCTTCAATATATGCATTGGAGCACCTATTGTTAAAGGTTCTTCCACGTATATCTTCAATGGTAATTGGACTATCATGATGGTCAAAAGAAAAGTGAGACTGGGAAGAAAGCCTCTCAACAACATGCTTTGCAAGTTCCTGCGGAGACTCACTGCTATCTTTTGGTGCTATTTTGGCTTCCCTGAAGGATTGGGATTTTGGTTTCTGTTTCCTACCATCACGGGAAGCAGCAAACTGAAGCCTTGGTGGCCGCTTGAACACAGCATTCCCATTTTCAAAGTTAGTTTCTAATTTTCGGCACTGTTCATCCATCTCTTGCTCTCCATCAATGTATCTATCCAAAACGCTATTGGAGACATTACTCGAGCAATAATGAGAGACCTCTGACAAATCGGAGTTTGCTCTGTGTTCATTCGGAGCCATAGCTGCATCAATGCATTTTGATCTGGTTTGCCTTTCAGGAGTCTGAGGACGAGAACTTCAAGAAGAATTTGCACACCAAAAAGGAAAACATGCGTCAGTAAACATGGTGGGACTTTACCAGGAAAGACTGACATGGAAAAGGAGACTACGTACCGGGAGGAGAGGCGTCCTAATGGCTTATTTAAATCATAATAACTGGCACTACTGCCTTTTCCACCGTCAAAAACACTCCCAGATGAAAAGGAGAGGCTTCGACTTAAACAAGGAGCTCTACCAAAAACCGGATCTTCTGAACCATGCTTGTTTTTCCCAGGCTTGTTAACTCTATCAATCGGTGGTGGCGAGAGTTGATTATTACTGGTGTTGTTAGATGAATGTGACATGAAAGAGAAAAGCTTCTTCATCTTTGTGGCTTCAACTCTACCTGCGGCTATTTCTCATGGAAAGTGACAGTGCAACCTGCAAAAAACCTTCAAATGTGAACTGGAGCCAGGGTGTTTGACAAACTCAACTCAATATACACAATTCAATATATAAATTCAGGTTCCTATAAACTTGGAAGTCGAACAATAAAGCTTCAATTTCATTGGCAGTAAGATTATTATTTCTCATGGAAAGTGACAATGCAACCTGTACACAAAGGTTCAAATGTGAACTATAGCCAGGGTTTTCGACAAACCCAACTCAATATACACAATTCAATACATAAATGCAGGTTCCTATAGACTTGGAAGTCGAACAATAAAGCTTCAATTTCATTTGCAGTAAGATTATCATTTCTCATGGAAAGTGACAGTGCAACCTGTACAAAAAGGTTCAAATGTGAACTGTAGCCAGGGTGTTCGACAAATCCAACTCAATATACGCAATTCGTTGCAGCAATAAATAAATGCAGGTTCCTATAGACTTGGAATTCGAACAATAAAGCTTCAAATTCATTCGCAGTAAGATTATTCTTTCCCATTGAAGTTAATCGACATCAGCACATCCAACCCAATCCCCTTCAAGGAACTGATTCTAAGAGCAATACAACATGTACAGATCGAGGAACTGATTCTAAGAGCAAGCATCAAGACAAGCTACAAGAGTTAAACAAAACCCTCCAGACATTCAAAAAATCAACAAAAAACAAAAACAAAGAACAAACTTAAAAACATGAAGCGGCATTAATGGAGTCGAACGTTTGAAACACGATTAAGAAAAGAAGGGCGAGATTCACTGAATCAAATTGAATAGTTGAGACCTGTGGAGCCTGAATTTGAATTCTGAAGTGGTTTCTTGGTTTTTCTTTTTTTTTTTTT